CAGCCGATCAGAAATATGAACACACCCCTCTTGGTGTCGAAAAATTCCAAGTGCACATAATTCAATCATAGAACCAGACACAACCCTCTCACATATGGTGAGACTCATCAATTTTGTGGGCCCTAACTCTGTGAAAAAGTTATGTTTGGTTTTGTGATGGATTCCGTGCACATAGAAGAGTAGCTTGGTGGCTTATGCTACCTCATATTTGCCCCCATTGCTAGAGGTGCACGCAAAGGCAGAGATTCTAAGCTAACTCAAATTAAATTTTGTAGTCTCTTTTATTTTTGGCTTTAATTGATAGTCTTTTTTCTTTTTGTTTGGCTTTATTTATTGCCTAATGGAATTTGCAGTTGAATAATAGGCTTGATGTACTAGATGTAGTCTTGGTTTTTTTCCCCCCACAGAATATCAGAATATTTTTTTGGTCTCCAGATGTTGCATTCCTTCTCTAGTTCTTCATTTCTATCATTCTTATATTTACATCTTCTTCTTGAATGAAAATTTTTTATTTTTATTTTTTTTGTAACTGTTTGTTTCCTTCTTTCTTCTCGCAGCGCTGTGACATCACCCACTCTTGTGATTTTCTTCTGCACTGCCAATGTTGGAAGCCAACAACTGTAGGCCAAACTCTGCATAATTTGTTTTTGTGAGTTGAAGATTTTTCAAGCAATGTTGAAAGATCTACATACATATATGTGATACACAAATGGTCTGACGATCAGTCAGGTAGAGTGTGTATATGTATATATATAAAATCAAGCTTTGCAAGCTCAATATCATTTTTAAGTTCTACGGAATTAGGATAAATGTTTCATTTTGATAAAATGACAAAGGCATCTCTCGGATGAAATGAAAATTGGATTCATATAACAAGTTTGTTTTTTTGACAATAACTCCTTAAAAAAGCACAATGCAAAATGGTAAATGGGACAAAATATAACAAAAATGATTGAGAATCTTTTTAAATTACACTAGACATGGAAGCAAAATTAATTGAAAAATCATAGAGATAATAATTTTTTGTTCCCATATTTGCATTGTCTCCTCTATTCACTTCTCTCCCTTTCTCCTTCCTCCCCTTCTCCTCCCTCCCCTATTTGCAAAACCTTACCCTTTCTCAATCTTTGCAAAAACCCACTCCAAACCAATCCCTTCCTTTTTCAATCTATGCAAAAACCCACTCCAAATCAGTCGTGAATTACATTTGCAAAGTGTGAAAGCCTACTTTGATCTTCATTTCTTCTCTCTTTTATTTTTTTTTATTTTTATTTTGTTGTGTTGTTGATGATGATGAAAGGGACCAATAGTGGATAGACGAGGTTGAGGAAAAATAAGGTTGAGAGCAGCGAAAGGAGATTGAGATGGGATGGAGGAGGTTGGAGATAGTAGATGAAGACCGAGAATGCAGTGAATGAGACTGGGAGTGGATAGGGAAGGGCTAGGGTGGGTTAAGGACAGGATGATAATGATTGGGAAAAGTTTAAGAATAATAGGGGGGAAGTGAGTGAAAAGTTGCTATTAGAGTATCTCTAACGCTAAATTTGAGTAAAGATTTGATTAAAAGTTTTATTTGATAACAAATATTTTAATGTTAAATTTTTAATTTTCATCAAACAACCAGTCAATCGGGGCAGTGGTAGTTTGGCCTAATGTAAATTTTCTTCAAAAATTTTTCAATTCGGTCGTCCACCCGATTGCCCAACTGGTCAAGTTCGGTCAGTTGTCCACTCAGTTGATCGGCCAGTCATCCATCCGATCATCCACCAACGATCACTATTGAGATTTGATAAAAGGTTAAACGCTCCCTTAATTTAATGAAATTTTTAGTTTTCCTCTCATTTGATACGGGTTTGATGCCACGATTGGAGCCCAAAAAGTAGCGTGTTTCATCAAATTTAAATTTGATGACAAATCTAATACTAGGGTTGGAGATGGTTTAAGCCTCAATTATTTCTCTTTCGTTTGTTAATCTAAAGCTTACTAGCTGAGTACGATTTTGCCTAAATTTCTATTGGATTTATATATATATATATATATATTTATGAGGTAGCATTTGGTAATTTTTATAAGTCAATTTTTTTTAGGGAAATCTTTTTTAAGGTTTCTGGTATTAAGATTTTATAGGATAAAAAACATGTAATATTGGGATCCATCAATATTTTTTTAGAGAAATTTTGATCCAGAGAAATTTCAAAACTCAGAGAAATTTAGACGAATTTCTCTGGTTTGCTCAATTTCTCTGATTTCCTCTATGTTTTCAAATTTTTATGGATCAAAATTTCTCTGATTTGCACATAAATTTTTCTGTGTTTTGACCAATTTCATCTAATTTGCTCATAATTTTTTTTGTGTTTTTTCCAAACCACAGAAAATTAAAGAAGAAGAAAAAAAAATATATATATATATATATATAAACATGAGAAGAGAAAAATAGTCTGATCGCAGAATAGAAAAAAAATTAAAAACAAAAAAAGCAGAGTAACCAGAAACGCATGAAACATGGTATGCGTTCTGATTGCAACCCATTCTTGCCTAACTGTGTGAGTGATTTTCTGACCACACTGCCCGCTTAGTAACCAGCTGGAGAGCATCGGCAAACTAGATGACACCTGGCTGACCTGCAACAGAAAGAGAAAATTCCGGCGGTGGTTCGTCCACCCGGCGCCACTCCGACGATCAAGTCAGTATATCTCTCAAAGATAAATCAAGTGCTAAACTCACAAGCTTGAGTATCAAAAGCATACCTTAGACCCATAGGAGTGCCTCTCTTTTATAACCAACATAAATCTAGTCCCAATAGAATATCCCTACACTCACCACCATGAAATCTCTGGTCGGAGCTCAAACCACAGTCGCCACCATGATTTTTTTTTTTTTTTGTGATGAGTGTTTTTCTCATTATTCTTTCTTCATTTTCATTACAACCAAACAGTTTCTCTTCCAAATTCAATTCACCCAACAAAAATCTTTCCATACATGAGAGAACACAAGCATGAAAAAGCTTAAGAAAAGGCAGCAAAATTAAAGAAACCGACAATTTTCATACATGACACGCCGCAATCTTCACAACAACTAGGAATCCATCGATACAGGTTTGGTATACATCTTCGTGCTTTGCATCGTCAAATACCACAGAGATAGCAGCAATGGTTGGACCCGGGATTATAACAAACATATCATGGTCAAGGTAGGCTTTAGAATCCGACACAATGAATGGAGCAATTTTCTTGGATTTGTGCAATAGATCAATCCAACGACTTGGGTTCATTTCAGGGAAACTAGCATCTTATTCTAGGGCTATGCAGATCTCATTCTTGAATTTTTGCTCATTTCCCTCTCTTTGGTACACTCAGTGAAATTTACTAATTGTAATTTGTGATTGCTAATTGTAATTTGTGACATCTATTAATTAGATTTAAATAATTAAAAAAATTATTGCATGCTACTGTTTGTTTTCCGAAGCACTGGAGCACCGAACCACCTGTAGCATATATGATATAGCCCACTGTTTCAATAGTACATGATTAGGGATTTACATTCATTTAAATATTAATATTTGATTTTGCATACTGTTTGTTTCTAGAGAAATTTGAATTTTCTCTGGTTTATAAATGAACCCAAAGAAATTTGAATTTGAATTTGAATCTAGAGAAAATTGGTCAAAATGAATCCAGAGAAATTTGAATTTTCTCTAGGTTGAACCCAGAGAAATTCTTTGGGAAGTCCAGAATTTCTCTGGATGAGAATTTCTCTGGAGGTGAATTTTCTCTAGACTAATTTTCTCTGGACCAATTTTCTCTGGACCAGTTTTCTCTAGATCAACTTGAGGGACCTTAGACATTATGAAACTATTGAGTGTCCTTTATGCTGTAAAATCTTAATACCAGGGTCCTTAAAAAAAATTCCCCTAAAATAAACTGTTTGTAAAATAAATATTTTTAATTATTTTTGTTTGAAACAAAATTCAAAATTTAGAATCAAATGTATTATAATTAAAAAGTTAAGAACTAAAGCGTAAAAATCTCAAACTATATCAACGGTTAGTATAATTCACCCATTGAAATTAAAATTGAAATAGAAACTGAAACATCATGTCGCAGTTTTTCATGTAGGTACTATCATGTGTGTATATATTATTAAACCACATGATTGAGAAATTCCGAATTATTTTTATGGTTGTGTGTGAGTGATTTTCCGATCACACTGCCCAACTCAGTAATCAGCTGGAGAACACTGGCAGAATAGATGACACCTGGCAGAATAGATGACACCTAGCTGACCTGCAATAAAAAGAGAAGATTCCGGCGGTGGTTCGTCCACCCGGGGGCACTCCGACGATCAAGTCAGTATATCTCTCAAAGATAATCAATAGTGCTAAATTCATTGTTCAGAACATAAATTGCATACCTTAGACCCACGTGGGTGCCTCTCTTATAGCTAACTCAATCCTTGTCCCAACAGGAGCCTAGCTCTAATAAACTTAGGATTACTATCATTCTTGGACTCCCAGTAGGATTGGGATAAACTCCCTAAGAGTCTTATCCTTTCCCAACTGTAGTCTTCCCCCTTTCTAGGACTCTTGTGCCTTATCCGCTTATCTCGGATTCCGATATCTTCAGAGGTAACCTCGGCCTCGCTGAGATAACCTCGGCGTCATGATCAGGACACGTGGCATCTCGGCTGATACGTCAGCGTTACCTTAGCCACGTGTTGGTACTCAGAAAATATATCCCCACAATAATTTATTAATAAAAGGGACGATTTGTTATGAAATTAAAAACCTCAGTAAGTGGAATGTAATTTTCAAAATTATAAAGGACAATTCTCATTTTAATCAAATCTCAAAAAATATATTTATAATTTACTCTTGAAAAAAAAAAAAAAACATTAAAAATGTGTTTTGCATTTTAGGGTTAGTGCTCCAAGAAGTTTTGAGCCAATTAATACCAAATCAATTCACGGTGCGCGTTCCGCTCCGAAGTCCAGACACAAACCCTACAATAGCACAAATATTCCTGTGTCTCTGCTCACTGCTGGCTTCCAACGCTAAATAAAATATTTTTGGCAGCTTCGCTTCACTTCACCACACTCCCGACTCTCTTTCTCATCTCTGTCTTCTCACTGCTGGCTTCCAACGCTAAATAAAATATTTTTGGCAGCTTCGCTTCACTTCACCACACTCCTCCACATCCCGACTCTCTTTCTCATCTCTGTCTTCTCCAACGGTATCTCTCTCTCTCTCTCTCCAATTTCCCTTCAGGAACACATATATCTATACATATACATATATACATGTACAGTAGGCATTTCAATTTTGAGGCACCACCAGTTCTGAATTTTTATCTGTGTGTTTTGTGAGGTTTGAACTGAAGAAGCAGAGCATGGGAGCTTATTGCAACGACGACCTCACTTTCTCTCCGAATTACACTTCCCCCTCCTCCCGTGATCTCAGATTCTGCAAGCACGTCCATGACAACGTCCATGGCAACATTTATCTCGATCCGGTTACATTCTCTCTCTCTCTCTCTCTCTCTCTCAGCTTCGCTTTCTGATAATTCTCTCACAGATATACGTACATATATGTATCACATTGTTGTCACATTTTACTCAAAATTCTTAAATTATTTGATTTGTGGTGGATTCAAATACAAATTGATGTGTATGTAGTTTGAAATGGATAGGATTTGAATCAGTTCATATTCAATAAAAATGGAGGTTACGGATAGGAAGAGAAGTTAGCTCTCGGACAACTTTGAAAAGTGAAATAATTAAACCTAATGAATAGGATTCAAATTAACATTGATGTGTGTTTATTTTCAAATGGATAGGATTTCAATCAGTTCATATTCAATAAAAAATGGATTCAAATTATAATGGATGTGCGTTTATTTTGCAATGGATGGGATTTTAACCAGTTCATATTCAATAAAAATGGAAGTTATGAATAGAAGGAGAAGTTAGCTAACTCTGAAAAGTGAAATAATTCAACCTAATGAATTTTAACATTTTATTTAGGAAACACATTTGTGACTCTGATGTCAATGTTATGGTTATTTTTCTATTCATTTATAGGATAAAAACATATAAATTGTCAATATTTTGGGTTACAATTTACAAGTACTATACAGTTGATTGTAAGTCTCAGTACACTAGTTGGTGTTTATGTGTTCTAATAATCCATTTAATCTATCTTACTTACTGCAGTTAACTTCAGAGGAGAACCTATTAGGTGTATATTTCAGATTGTAGCTTAAATTTTGTTAGAGCAAAGGTAATACAATTTGATTTCTGTTTGCTTCTATGGCTGCAGATCTTTCTGAAGTTCATAGATACTGAAGAGTTTCAAAGGCAAGTTGATTTTCTATGGTGCCTTTTAATTGGTGGCTTGGTTTATTTTTGCTGTGTATGGCTGTTTTGTGCTTATCCTAGTTGTATGAGTTTATGCGTGGTCATTAATCCTTTCATTTTATTTTCATATTTCAGACTTCGTGATCTTAAACAACTCGGTGAGTTCATCGCCTCTCTTTTGCATTAGAACCTATATTATTAAGAATAGTTTTCAGATTAATCAAAGTTCAAAATATATATTTGATTTTTCTTTTGAATAGTATCTTGTACATTGTGTATTTCACATGAATTATGAAGAATTTAGCCAGAACTTTGAATTTATTTCTGTGTTTAGGAGCTCTCAGTGGAATAGATTATGAGCCAAATAGGTTTCAGAGTATATGCTCAAAGATAATTTATTACAGATGGTTCAGTATATAATATAGGAAGCATAATCTGGTTCTGTGACAACATATGCATGAAACGAAGATGGATTACGGATTTTGGTTGTCTTGTGTGGTGGAGTTATAGTAATTTTCAAGTTCTAACATGAAATGAATTGAAATAAATCTAAGTGGAAGATCAATGTACTAGTTTCTGTCTGTGTGTCTGCTTGTGTGCATGCCTTTGGCTGCTTGTTGATTATTGTTTTTATTAAATCTGGTTTGTATCTTAGGAATATGATCAATACACTAGTTTGTGCATTGCAGAAAAGAGATGTGCTTCAGGATGGCTTTTGTAGCACTTCTTATTTTATCAGTACAAAGACCATGAGTGCATTACTGCATTCTAGGTTTGAAAGATCACCACTTGTTGAAATTCTGGGACAGTGTTAAATGTGTTTTTGAAACTAGCTTTTCTGTATTTTCAGGGATGGCACACATGGTTTATCCAGGGGCTGTGCATTCTAGGTTTGAACATTCTCTTGGAGTGTATTGGCTTGCTGGTGAGGCTGCTCACAAGCTTAAAACTCACCAAGTATGGAATCTGCATACTCTGCTAATTTAATTGCACAACTTAAATTCTTGGGGATTTTATATTTTACATTTTTTCCATTTTTGCAGCGGATGGAGCTTGGTATTGACCACTTTGATATACAAACAGTGAAACTTGCAGGTAACCAACTTTATATTCCACACGGTGCTTCATTTTTTGTTTGTTTGTTTGTTTTGTTTTTGAGTTATCTGATGTTTTATTAAGCTATTTCTTCAATTCCAGGACTCTTGCATGATATAGGCCATGGGCCTTTCAGTCACTTGTTTGAACGCGAGTTTCTTCCTCAGGTTCTCAAGGGCTCTAAATGGTGAATTTAATGTCCTTAATGAGAATGCTTTATTGCTCCCTTTCTGGAATATGAATGCATTTCAAATTGATGAAAGTGTACACCATGGTCAATGAGGATATGAATTTTGTATGTCATTTTTACTGTGAAGAGCCAGGGAATAGTATATAGCTCAAGTAATTTGTTCTCATACTTCTGCTTGTAAATTGGTATTTGGAGCTTCTTAAGGATCTCCTTCTCATTCGAAAGTAATGATTTGATGATATGAAATTTAATCAACCTGATGTACTTTAGCTACAAATAATGTCTGGCATCTCTCTTAGCATAGGCACGTATGGATTTTTTCTATTGGGGAATTTAATAGAGAACCTCCAAAGAATTGGCACTTCTATTATTATTTTTTCATTGCATCTTTTTGTTCTATCATGTGATTGCATTTACTGTAGGTCATACTAATTTGTACTGGTTCAGATTAAAAAAGAGGAGATTGACCGAGGAGTATAAAAATGTTTTGTTTCCCCATAGTGGATTCATGTTTCAATTTGCCTCTTGGAATTTCTTTCTTTTCAGCTGCTTTCATCTTCTGTTTTTGCACCTCCCTTGGTAATTTCACTATCAATTATTTTCAGTTACTACTTGTGTCAATTTCATGTTACATTTTGTCCGTTCTAGGTCTCATGAGCAAATGTCAGTGAAGATGGTTGACCATATTGTCGATGAGCACCATATAGAAATTGACTCTGAAACCATCAAAAGAGTTAAGGTAAGGTGAAAAAATTATGATTCAACAGTTGGATGGCCTCAATTAGCTCTTGATATGGTCTTTATCACTCCTCCGAGCTTTTATTCATGTAATACATTCATTTTATGCTAATTTTTGCTGAAATTTTAACCCATCTACGTTTGATTCCTTTAAATCTTTCAATCTTGTATGCTGATTCATCTAACCATGGCATAATTGTTCCCCTATTTGTTTTATTTTTACTTCATTGGTTCCTATATGATTTATCAAAAGTCTCTTTTCCATGCATTTTACAAAATATATTAAGTAGCCTACTTCTACGAAATTATCTGTCAAAGGCATCTACATAAAATTATTGTCTCTTGATATTGAAGCAATTAATGATCTATTGGAATCGTGTTTTCTTATATACAGTCAATCATGGATCATGTTGTTAAGATTACTCGATCATCACATAATACTGAACTCCTTGCTATATTTTGTATCCTTGCTTTACTTACCTGAGAAAATAGAAGGAAAAAAATAAGTGTAGCTCTTGTTTCCAAAATCCTCTTGTATTGCTACTGTTTCTTCTTCCAGATCTCTAGTGTTTATCTTTCAGCAAGCTTAAATTTGCACATTACTTTCTCTTTGCAATCAGCACCTTAAGTGACATTCACATATTTTTGCTGGCATTTGTAACATTTGTTATTGTTCTTTAATTACATGCATATAGAATTAATGAGAGATTCTGACAAATTTCCCACTCTAACAAACTTTTGGACTTTGATGCTTTCGTACTATAGATTGCACACCCACTCTATGTGACATAGTAGGAAAGTAATAGTTTATTATTATGGGTGTAAGTGTAACCTTTATCAGTTCCACAATCTATTAAGAGGCTACAGTGTTGCAAATTTGGGGTTAAATACCATGCATGCGGCAAGGTTTCTTTGATAGTGATAAACTGGATGATCCTTATTTTTTATTATTAAAATATCCTTTCCTGGAAGTGTTGGAGCACAATGTTATGATTGCTCAATGTTGATGTTGCTCAAATCCTTGAAATATTTGTTTTTGACTTAGTGAAGTGATACATGGCTATTTTATGGTGATGATATAACCTTTTCTTTTCCCTTACCACAGAGCATTTATGTTTTGTTGGCAGGAAATGATACTTGCTAGCTCTGAATTTGCTCAGACCAAGGTAAGTTTTTATGGTGCTTCATTTTATATGCGCACATTATTCATGCCTGATGGAGCTGTTTTGATACTTTTATGCTTATACTTAGTTCATCGTCTTTTATTTATTTATTCTCTTCACATTTCTCTTCCATCATGTAACTAATAGTTAACTTTATTTGGTGCATGTAACATGTAGAGCACAAGGGAGAAGCATTTCTTGTATGACATTGTTGCAAATGGTCAAAATGGAATCGATGTTGACAAGTCAGTCAAATATTTGATTACTTTTATCTATTGGAATATTAAATTTTCCTTATTTATCTTTAATTTGTATAATTCAAGATGTAATTTGGTTTTGGTACATTTCTTGATGTTTTAATTGATTTGCAGGTTTGATTACATTGTTCGTGACAGCCGAGCTTGTGGTCTTGGATGCAATTTTCAGTTTCAAAGGTTTTCGTTAAAAAATTTATTGTTTTTATTTTTCTGACAAGTAAAAATATTATATTATAGTTGACAAAGGGGGTGCAAGCCATATGCATGCAACATCTACAAAACCAAATATGAAATTTTCTTTGTAACTTTGTTGATATAGACATTAAATATTATTACCAACTGAAAGAATATGAATATTTTACAAAATAGAGAACATTTCCAGGATTGTTTTTTCTTTGTTCTTTGCAGGTTAATGGAAACAATGCAAGTTTTGGGTAATGAGATATGCTATCGTGCTAAGGATTGTAAGCATCTTTCTTGGAAATTTACTCGTCATGCTTATACCTGATAATTAATACTTTCCTCTTCTTATGGTTGTATAATTTATCAGATCTGACCATCCACAAGTTATTTGCCACTCGTGCTGATCTGTACAGAACGGTCTATACTCATGCAAAAGTAAAGGTACAACAACTTCCCTGTAAATTGAATTGAATTGAGTAAGAATTTTTTCTAACAGAAACCTGTTATTTTCCTTTTTTTGATGTTTATAATTTAATTTACCTAACAATATATTGTTACTTTTTCTTTTACTATTTTCAGGCAATAGAGCTCATGGTTGCAGATGCTTTGTTGAAAGCAAATGATTATCTGGAGATAACAGCTCATGTTCAAGATCCTTCTCTATTCTGGAAGGTTTGGAGAACTGTCTACAATTGTTCTAACTTCTAATATCTACTTAAATTCCATGCCACATTAATCTATATGTTCTTGTCATTCTTGGGCACACAGTTAGATGATACAATAATAAAAACAATTGAGACTGCTCCAGACCAAGAATTAAAAGAAGCCAGAGATTTGATCCTTCGCATTCGCAGGAGGGATTTGTACCAGGTATTGGAGCTTGGCTGGTTCATCTTGTGATCTCAATTATATAATAGTCTATGAGTCTCTTTTGCGGTCTGACTAATAACATGCATAAACTGACAAGATTTTTTAATTTTTTTTTAAAGCCATTTTTGTACTGTAAACGTGAAGTTTAAGCTATTGTCTGCCTTTATTTTTGGCAGTTTTGTAATGAGTATGCCGTTCCCAAGGACAATATTGTAAATTTCAAAGATGTCACAGCGCAGGATATCATTTGTTCACAGGTGCTTACACAAACATTATTATATGTTTTTGTATGCAAGTCAGTTTGCTGATTAGTGGTTGAATTTCTCATTTTGGGCTTCGGGTAATTTTAATTGAGCAGAAAACTGGTGGAGTGATTCTGAGAGAAGAGGATGTTGTTGTAAGCAATGTTAGGATTGATTTGGCATGTGGGAGGCATAATCCTCTTGAGAGGTAATTTAAATTTGGAGGCATTTATGCTGATTTTTAATAAAGCTTTCTCTTGTTTCTTGTTTCTTGCCAAAAAGAAAATAAAAACTGCACAATACGCTTAGTAATTGAATATTCTCTTTTTTGCATGTACGAACTCCTCCAGCATCAAGTTTTTCAAGGTATGTAACCCAATTTTATTGCAGGAACTCTTCAAGGTTTTATTTCAATTGAATTTGAGTTACTATGTATTCATTATTTTTGCTCTGAATTAAAGTAAATTCTTCTGTAGAAAGTACGTGTTGATACTTCTCGAATAAAATATTTAAGTTTTATGTGTAGATCTGCCTCATCTGAAATATACACCTTAGTTTCTAATTTTAGGTATGTAGGAATGGGCATGTCATGTTATTAGCTATGTATGTCAGTTATAACTGGATCATTTTCATGAGTTTTTAAGTCTTTTAATTATCTGAAGTTTTTGTCTATTTATGTTGCAGCAGCTACACAATCTGATGCAATGTATAAGACCTGAAAAGGAAAATCTCAATAAATAGATATGATGATAGTGATGCTATATAGTTTTTCAGATTAATTTTCAGCGCATAAGAAAGCTATTTTTATTTTCTTATTTTTTTAAAATTTAATTTAATTTATTTTTTATATACCAAAAGAGAATTGGCAGCATTTTCCTTCTTTTTTTGTTTTGTTTTTTTTGTTTCATTGCTTTTATAGTGCAGGTGTTAACAGCTATACTTTCATTCAGGATTACGATAGTGAGGAGTTGTTCTCTATTCCTGATGACCGAATTAGCCACTTGCTGCCAACATCTTATCAAGATATGATAGTGAGGGTGTACTCCAAAAAGCCAAACCTGGTAGCAAAAATTATGGTTGTGTGGTTTATTCGTGTTGTCTCTGAATTAGTTTTATCCTCAATAACAGAATTACTCAAAACAACATGCAGGTAGGAGTGATTTCTGAGGCTTTCGAAAATTTTCAGTTAAAGACATATGGGATCAAAGCACAGGTACATGCAACACCAGAGAAGAAAAAGCGCCGCATATGAGATAATCATTATTGGCATTGCCTTTCACCTATTCATTCTTTTTTACCTAGAAAACAAACAAATTTCCAGTTCCAAACAATCTGAGTATTGCAATACAGGTCATACGTCATACACCACTCATAGATGCATGTGATTTTTGCTATTCTGTCTGGTCTCTTTAAAATTCAAATTGGATTACTAAGGGGGGCTGCTTTTGTTTTGTAAAACCAGATTGTAAACTCAATCTCTATTCTTTAGAGAGAATTTTTTTCTTTTGAAATTAATCACATTGAACTTTTAAAAATAAATGTGTCGATATTTGTGGAACGTCACATTTCTAAAACATCTTTCAAGTTATGAAGCTGATGAATTCTGTGTCTCTTGTAGTTTTGATGTGTTTCATGGTATAACCAACCGGTTAATCTCTCTGTGTGTGTCTCAATTGCTAAAGCTTAGTGACCTACTATATAAAATATTTAACAGTAATGTTGGCTTAACAAAAATGTAAATATTAAGGCCCCGTTTGGGGACTTACTTTTTTAGCCAATTAGCTAAAAAGTTACTAAATTAGCTAAAAAGCCAACAACTCATACCAAAAAGTCAAAGATTCTCTTTTCTCTCTACTTTTTGCACATCTTTTCGTAATTAGCCAAAAAGTCATCCCAAATATACAAGTTTTTTTTACCTATCTTTTTAGCCAAATAGTCAAAAAGTTATTAAATTAACCTGTTCCCAAACGAGGCCTAAATATGATTTGAATATCGTCCATTCAAGGGCAGAGTTAAGTTGAATGTTAGTTTTGGTTTTGGGTACCAAACTACAAAATGAGAGCTCTACTAGGTTTATTGGACTAGCATTCAAAGTGAAAACTACTTCGATTCTAGTGAGCAGACGACCTGCTGTTGATAAAAGGCAAAGAAAGAAAAACTAGGTATGAATTGTGGAGTTTGGACATATCCAGAGGGAAAAGGAGCTGCTTTTGATTATTGTTAGGTTTAGATATGGGTAATTTTAATTTTTTATTATTAATTCCATGGCTGTTTTTTTTCTTGGGTAAAGCCTAATGGATAATTGATTAATTATGTTTATTCTTGTAGCGTTAATTAGATAATCACTTATACTAGGAATTGAAAGATTGGCAGGACTTGACCTTTCATGCTGGCTTAGAAATTTTTTGTGGGGGTACCACTAGAGTTGGCAATTCTAACCTGAACTTGCCAACCTGCCCGAAACCGCCTAGTTTAATTGGTTTTGGGCCGATGATTGTATAATGTGGGCCTTAATTGGGTTTAACCAATAACAACACATGTACGGGGTTGGTTATTATGTTTAAGCAGGTTCAATGAAATTACAAAACAAGACCATGGGCAAGGGAGACCCTCATAAGCCTTTGTAGATGCATGCTCACCAAGATTCGACCTCTTTTGAAACAATAACTAACGAAAGTTACATTTATTTATTATGAGCAATGCATTAAACAACACTAGAAGGGTAAGCACACTAATGTGTGCAACTGAAAATAACTGCTATGAAATATACAATCAAGGCAGTTTAGATGTTTTTTTTTTTAAAAAAAAAAAAAAAACTGAGTCTATGGCATAACTGCCATTGCTTTTATGTAACTACTTTTATAGGCATTTTCGGAAATAAAAAAAATGAAAAAAAAAAATGATATATCCAAACCAACTCAAGTGTAAATTTTATATAATAGTATAGATGACAACCACAGAGGACTCGATCTCTGGCGAAAGAGCCTCGCCATCACGAGTTACCAAGCCCAAGCCCTTATGTTTCAATGAATTGGTACGCCATCCCTAAGAAGACGGTGTAGTTTTATGGTTTTTCCAAATATGGTTCACCTGTGCAAGTGACATGGTAGATGATCAATGTTGACTTGTGGCCATGGCAGCAGCATCTTTCAGCTCCTTTGCCCTGTGGCGAACTAGTTTCCCTTCCTCCCCTACAATAAGATACCTCACATGTTTGGTGATTTCTTCATGGCAAACAATGCCATTTTCATTCTTCTTTGGTCTAAATGCGACTTCGAATTCTTGGGTTAGCATTACTGTATGCATTTCTTGCTCTGTAAAGAGTGGCCAAGCAATTAGGGGCACTCCATGAATGCTCTCTAATATTGAGTTCCACCTCCAATGGGTGAGGAATCCCCCAGTTGAGCTGTGGCTCATGATTTGAATCTGAGGAGCCCATGACCGCACCAATAGACCCACTCCTCTTGTCCTCTCCAAGAACCCCTTGGGTAGGAAATTATTAGGGTCATCCTCCTTACTACTTTGCGCATTGTAGTAAACAGCATTTGCAGCATTCTTAGCTGGGCTCCTAACAACCCAAATGAATCTCTGCTCACTCATCTCCAAACCCAAGGCTAGTTCAGTTAATTGCTCATGGGTAAGGGTCCCACTGCTCCCAAAGGACACAAATAGGACTGAGCCGCGTGGCTGCTCATCCAGCCACCTCAAGCACTCATACCCACTACCACCCCCACTTATCGGACCAGTTTGTAACAATGGTCCAATCGGGTAAACTGGCGATTTACCCGACCCTGTCTTCATCAGAACCTTAAAAGTTTTTGATTCCAAGTCTATGAAACTAATGATGATAACCCCATCAGCCACGTTGTACCGTTTGGTATGGTAAAGAGCCAACTTGTAGGATTCACTGTTTCTATTCTGAAATGTCTCTAGTAACTCTGTTCCCTTAATAGGGACGCACCCAGGTATTTTGACCGGTTCAGGTAGATCCCTATAGTTACTAATACCTGTTTCGTCAAGCTTAGATAAATGCAAAAAAAGAGACAAAGGCTTTGCACATAAAGGGATGAAAATGTATCTTAAAAGACAGAATACTTTTGCCACGTCAAAGGCGTCAGTGCCGACGACATCAACCACCAAAGCTACAAGGTGATTCGACTCAGTTAAGACCTTGAGCGAGTCACGGAGAGCTGGGACACGAGTCATGCTGACAGGGACATGAATTTTAGGCCCGACATCACTAGGGAGGTATCAAAACTGACCGGAGGAAGATAAACCACATTAATGGTTTCGGTTAGCGAGTCGAGAAAAGACTTTTGGGCTTTCATAGGATACCCAAAGTTAGGAATGATGAAGGTAACAGAGAAGTCATAGGTGAGGATGAGTCGTTTTGCGAACTCGGTGAGTGGGATGAGATGACCATAGAGGGTGTGGGATAAATGGCTATGTGATGCTTCTGTTGGCTGAAAGTTTTGATGGTAGGGAAGTTAGTTAAGTACTTCAGTTATGCATAGACTGGTGGATGGTGTAACATTTTAAGACTTTTGGGCTTTTATAGTATTTTGGTGGAATTGGTGGTTGGACTGGTATAATAATAAAATTAGTGAAAGAAATGGTGGGTTGTGATATCCCAATCAAAAGATATGCTATTTTATATATGGTTAATGCTAATCCTGTATTAATAAGTCATCTTGATTTTAATAAATTCCTATTTTTAACCAATTCAATAAATTAAATGTTATTATTTGAATATCTTGATCTTATTTATCAAAAAAAATAAAAATAAAAAATTACTTGAATATTTTAATGACTTTTGAATTAATTAATGCTAGCGGCAGGTGCCAAAAGATTTATAATTTATAAATGAATAAGATGAATAAAAACCGTCAATGTTTGTGGAGATCTAAATATTTGAATATGTTTGATTTTATATGATAGTTTTTAAACTCATCAATTGTTGTGGGTATTTTTGAAAAAAAGAAAGAAGAAAAAGCGTGACAAAGAGTGTTAAGGCGAACTGCCATGTACGTTTTAATAGATGTAGACTAGATGGTGTGCACACGCTATGTATGTGCAATCAGAGTTATTAATAACATGAAATCATAATTTTCTTAACAATGTATGAATGAAAGAGGAGTTAAAAAAAAATGTATGAATGAAAGAACAAATGAGGATCATACAAAGTTAGTTGCTTCTAAGAGCAGAGGTAGCTAATACATGGGCAGGCTTGCTCTTGTGGTTGCCCTCTATTTTTTGTCCCTGGACATATAGGAATGGAAATGCTATAGGCTTGGAGTCACTGCTTATGAAAGAAGGTCATCTGGTGTTGGGTTGTTAAAATGGAGAGTTGTGTGATAAATTAGGTAATTGCTTCCAGTTTGAGGGAGGAAAAAAAAAAGAAAGAACGAAGGACTCTCCTCCATAGTAAGGGATGGATCGAGGAGAGGTTGGTAAAGGCGATTGCCATTCTAAAGTTTTGAACAAATTTCATAAATATAATTGTATTAGTTTAGATTATTGTTGTGCATCTAAAGTGAAATTCACAAAATGGAGTATTAAAGAGTATGAAAGATAGTAGTACGGAGATGAGTTATTAAAAAAGGAAAATCATTCAACGTAATTTTTCAAGTAAATTACATGTTTTATAGTATTTTCGGGAAATTGGTGATTTGACTGATATATAATAACATAATTGAAACAAAGAAGTGGTGGGTTGTGGTATCCCAGTCAAAACTTCATATTTGATCTTGACGTCATATCGGGAAGTTTGGATGTGTGTTATACAAGGGCCGTGGAGGACCTCCTAGTCAGCAATTGCCTAGGTGTGGCCTTTTCGTGGGTCCCGCCTTATTTCCTCCATGCTAAACAAAAATAAAATAAAATTGCTAAAATGGATTTTTTTTTGAATATATATATATATTGTTTATTTTTAAATGTGATTAAATGATGGATTAATTGGTGATAAATTTAATCTAAGAAAGATATAGGACATTAGGTTCAAGTGATATTTTTTATTGATGAATGGTTCATGTTCTGAAATAGTTTGGTGAGAAATCTTGAAGAACATTTTGTTTTTAATTTTATCCTTTGACTTTTTTTTATCTATTTGACTTTTCGACTATCTGTTCAAATTTATATCTATTTGTTTAAATTTTTTTCTTATATGTTCAAAATTATATCTGTGCGGGGAGCAAATATTCAGACAAGCCCGCACTCCTTTCTTCCAAGCTCCTGTCTGTCCGATCGACTTGCGAGCACAACGGCGGTGAGCTACCCGGCGGTGTGTGGCTAGAAAACCCCTCCGACGATCACTTTAGACACACACACAGGGATAGAGAGAGAGCGAGAGAGAGAGAGGATTGAGTTGTGTTTAGTGTTTATCTCACCAAAATGTCATCTGTCCCAGCATGGGGGCGCAGACTCGCTTATATACCTTCTGCGCCCCAAATCTACTCCCATTCGTCTCTCGACACGTGGTGCTGCTATCCCATCTGTCAGCACAAATCTTGCTGAACACCACCTAACCAAACTGCTAGCCCACTCTACTGGGAGCTCGGCAGCCGGGCTGAATCTTCTCGGCTATAAACGGTCGTGCTGTGCAGCTGGCCAGAGCGCTCCGCTCGCCGTGCTCAATGAGAACCGAGCTCGGTTGCATCCCGGCATAGCCGAGCTCGGGACAGTTCATGCTGGTTTGTCACCGGCCTTCTTACCGGTCTAACTCATGAATCGTGGAACAATAATGTCGTTCCTGGCGCCGGACATCTCACTTGCTCGGCCTCTATACCATGAAGCCAAGTAGCTCGGTCCAACCACGCCTTGCCTTAACCGAGCAAAACCATTCAGGGCACGGGCCGCGCTACCTCGGCTCAATCTTGTTCGGCCCAAATCTGTCCGGCCATTACCACAGCCCAATCCAGATCATAAATCTCTCTCTCAATTGCCCCTTAATTCTGTCCGCGCAAGCGTGACTGGGATTACCTATTCTAACCGGGGTAACACTTCCTCGGTCCTCGGTTTGCAATACAGTGACTGGGCTAGTTGACATGCCTGTCTTCAAAACTTGCCTGGTCGACGCCTCGATTCACCATCCTGTCTCTTCAATACTGACGCCACCGTCAATAGGGACACGTGTCGTGCGCTGATTGGCCTCGAACAGCCAAACATCACGTCTGTTCAGATTCAAATTTTTGGTGGTCTTCCTCCCTTATATACGCCATTTCCTTCTTCATTTCGTCTTTACTGATTTTCCTTCATCCTTGCTGATCCAGAGTTTCTGCCCTTCCTTTCTTGCCATTACTGAGTTCGTGTTCAAGGAAGTAGCCACTGCTCTCAACTGGTAAGTTCTTCAACACCTTTTGTTGTTATTTCACTTGGTATTTCGCATATTAGGGCACTAAATCCGTAGGTTTTAGGACATAGGCACCCAAAACCGTCTCTAACCCTTCACTCTCCTTGCTGTTCTTCATTTTCTCTGATGAACACTGAAGATCTGGGCCGGACCGGGCTCCAGGTCTTCATTTGATCCAAAAAATCATTCAGACCGAGCAAATAAGCAGTTTGTCCCAACCTTAGTAGAAATCGGGGTAACCAAATGACTTGGCCGTTCAACCGGGCTAACATCTGGTCCGCTTGAGCGATTGGGCTCCTTGGTTAGCCTTAACGACCGAGGTGGTTTGGTACTCTTTATGACCGAGCTAAAGTCAAGCTCGTTTTGCGCAACCGCGCTCCCTCTTACACTTGCCATCCTTTTCCTGCAGAGTCCAAGGGGACCACAGACCATTATTGAGGCTCTCAAAGACCGAGGAACCATCAATCACCAATATGTGCCAAACCTCCTCGGCCGAACTAACTTAGCCAACCACACATGGGGCGCTTTCGCTTCCTTGTGGACACTTCAGCTGCCTTAGCCGCTTTCTGGGAAGAGTATGGTGTCCCGGCAGACGTTCATTTAGAGCTCGGCGCCACAGACACCAACCCTTGGGGCAGACATGACCAATGCCCCTTCACCGTGCTGTCCATTATTGAAGGAGGCCTCCGCTTCCCGGTCAACCCTTTGATGACCGAATTCCTGCGCCGAACTGGGCTAGCACCCACACAAGTTTCAACCAACACTTACCGAATAATAAACGGTGTCCATGAGCTGAACAACCGGCTTTGAACCAACTTAGGTTTAGCCGAGGTACTCTGCCAGTATACCCTCGGGCACACAAACGGTGGTCTCGCTTACTACCTAAAAGTTCGGCCAGGCAGAGAAAAAATAGTGACCGGCACCCCAGACAAGGACTTACACGATGACGACTTCTTCTGGGTGTTTGGCAATTATGAAACAGCCGACGTACCGGGCTGGTTTATTAGCAAGAACTTCGGTTCCACATGTAAGCCGTGCTAACTTGCTCGGTCAATTGCCTTTGTTCCATATTCTGTATTTTAACATTTTTTTTCTTTCCTTTGCTGCGATCCAAGCCTTACAAGCCAACTACCACTACCCCAACGAAGAAGCCATCCGGACCGTGCTCCGCAACCGCCACCGGGATTGTAACGAGCTACTCGGTTACATCCCAACATATAGATACTCAGGTCCGCGCCAGAGTAAGGTCACTGACTTCCTCCGTGCTCTGTCACCTCCTCCAGGCCCAACACTACCGGACATGCCCCTAATTCGGTTAACCGAAGAAGAAGAGATGGAAAAATGAATCCATATCAAGAACCTCCTCAACGCAACTTCCACCGAGATACCGAGCGTCATCACCTGCTTTCCAGCTGCCGGTCAATCCAGCGGGGTCGTGGTTGCGCTAGTGTCTCCTGCTGCCGGGCAAGCCAGCCAAGACAACTGCTGGGCTGGGAAACGGCCTCGCGCAGACACCTCTGCCGAGCTAATTGAAGAGCTGACTACCGAGCAACCCGCCGTCATCGTCGACCCAACACCGGCATGGCGACCGCAGTTCAGAGTACAGGGGCATGGCGGAAGCCAAAACAGTAAATGAACAATGTCCAATGAGCTGCGACAGTTTGTATGCAAAAAGACTTTTCATACATATATACAATCAGTGCGAAACAGTTTGTACAATATTTACAATCATCTAGGTCAGGGACTTAATCTCTATTAAGACAGGACAGTACAGTGTTATCAGTCTATACAATAATACAAAGCAGATACAGAGACAGATGGGGGAAATTAAAATACTCCTAAGCCATAGCTTGAACGGGCTCAGAACCTCGCAGTGAGGCACATAGGTTGGCTTGACAAAACTGGAGTTTACCCCGACGCTTCTAGCAACGGTCCGGTGCCTGAATACCTACATATATATATGAGCAGTGAGCTAAAGCCCAGTAAATAACATAATGCGTAAAGAGGTTAAGAATGAATGTCCTTACAGTATTGAAAGCAGTCAATTCAATCAGTATATCAGTTATTTAGTCATTACAGTCATATGTGGTACATCCAGTAGCAAAACAGTACAGTAGGTCTTATCAGACCGAACAGTCAGTTGATGGCCATCATATCAGTAAACAGTAGTGGTTCCAACATGGGAACCGACAGAGATCTCTGTAACAGTAGCAGTAACAGTAACAGTAACAATAGTTGCTAAGGATGCCACAATACAGTTCACAATTAGGACATCATTCATTCAGTAACAGTATCATTTCAGAAAACAGTACAGTTTAATTGTTCAAAAGATAACTATATTTGAACATATCTTTACACAGTTGTTACTCATAGAGTTCTGGGCTATAGTTAAGCTAGAGCGCGTCCTCAGAAAGCCAATTCTACACAGTTGTAGAATGAACACACACTAAGCTACACAGTTGGGAAAATAATAACTTA